TATTACTGAGATGCAAATAATTTTCTTTAATTATCTCCTGGACTGTTGCAAGTCTTTGGAACCTCTAGTTTTACCAACAATTTCACTGCTTTTATGAAAGAAAGGGTTTTCAAAGGTTCTTAATGTGCTATTCCCACTCATGTTCTTTCATGTGGATTTTGAAAAGAAGTTCTGCTTGCATAAATCTTCAAGCTGTGCAACCAAGTATTCCACTGGACAGGAGTTTATTTCCTTTACCTTTATGGATCCTTTTGGGAAAACCTCTTTAAAGTATTATGGGACCTCGGGGGCAATGAGAACTTCAGAAGCAGTTAATGACAGCAAATTGAGCTAGACTCTAAGAGAAGAACTGCAAAACCTTTGAACCCATCCACTCTCAGGATCCTAGGGTCCAAGTCTGCTTGTCCCAAACAAGTTTGGTAGGCACCAGAAACTTGATGCTTAAGGCTAGTGTTTCTGGTATGGAAGGACATTTCTCTGTGCCCAAAATATGTTTAAGGAGTGAAACCAGCCATGGAAAGTAGGCCAACCACACAAGGGAAAGGAGTTCGCAGGACTCAGTCTTATCACACAAGAAGTTACAAGTTAATTACAGTTTACACAAACTGTACAAGGACATCTCTGAGACTAAGAACCCCTGTGGTGGCTTTGAAAGTCTCAGTAAGGACATCTTGGTGTCTGGCTAATTATGGAAGCAGCCTCATTTTTAGAAGCCCCTCCACCTCCACCCCATGTTTATTTTTTTTATTTTAATTAATTCAGTTATTTATACAAGATCTGGGGTGTAGGCCAGAAGTGCGGGGTGTGAGAGGATTCACCAGAGACAGAGTGGGCAGCAGAACAGGCAGATCTACTAAAGTATACTGCTAAGGGGAGCAGTGGGGGAGACAGGAGAGGTCTGCTGTGCCATGTGGGTCAGCTCCCTGGCCAGGAATAGAACTCATGCCGAAGTGGCTGGTGATAGCTTGATAGCTCTGTGACTTAACTCCTGTGCCACCAGAGAGGCCCCCACCCCATGTTTAAAGCACACAAAACCTCCTTCACAACCATGGATCTCACCCCACAACTTGCATCCTGATTTAGACAACACGTGTAAGAGATGACAGACTAGACTGTGATAGCTGAAATTGTTTCAGTGCTTGACCTAGTTCATGTTTTTGAAGGACAATTTGGTTTATACATTGTGCAACCTGCTGGTGTCAGCAAGTGATGCCAACATCTCACCTGTTTTCTTATGATCTAAGGGCTCAGAATTTTTTACATTCTTACATTCTTTGGGGAAAAATTAGAGAAATGCAACAGAGAGCCTCTATGACTTATAAAGTCTAAATATTTGCTATCTGAAACTTTACAAAACTCTGCCTACCTCTGGTTAAATGGTTTCAAATAACCCATGACATCCTAGGACAGCCAACACCCACAGTAAGATGACAACCAAAGGGCACGAAAACACTTGAAATATCATTACTTTACTTTAATGCTCCAGGCATTTTAGACATTCATAAAGTCACCTTATTTCAGAAGTCATTTCCTCTTAGGTACAGATTCAGCGTCCACGATCAGAGACAAGGTATCACTGAACTTTCTCTATAATACCCACATACTACAGGGGACCCATGCTGGCACCCTGTCTTCTCTGGTAGAGCTCCCCACCATACCCACAGTGAGGCTGCACCACCCCTACCACCCCTACTTGACAGCCTCAAATGTTCATGTAGCTTCACGCTGCTTGTGGGATCTGTGGATTTATACATTTCCAGCACTACCAGATATTCCAAGTCTGTGATAATCATCCCGAGGCACTAGTGAGACATCACATCAGCACCTGCTCCATTGTATCATACAGACACTGAGGCACTTCATATATTCTGGGTAAAAGAGTTTATAATTACCACAGGAATTAATTGTGGGAGAGGTCTTTTCTGTCAATAATTAGTAACCTTAACAGATATTTAGCAGATATTTAAATTCATGTCTGTTTACATTTGTTGTCAAGGCTGCATAAACTGCTGAAGTAAATGAGAGCGTGTTTGAGTTTCCAGCGCTATGAGGAGAAGCAAAGAGAACCCGCTTAGACAACACTGGCTTGCATCATGAATACAGAGGCAACAGCTGGTCATTCTTAAAGGCCCTGTCCTTCCAGAAGGGATTTATTAAAGCCCCAGGGTTTGACTCTTTCAAGGTAAAAATGTTTGTTGTTCTTTCTCAGGCAGCGCTTCCCAGCATCTTGAAGCCTGCTTCATGTCTGAGGTTCCGATTTCACTGGTCAAGGGTGGGAGGAAGAAAGGGAATATGTGGACATCAACATTTTTAAAAACTAATTCCAGCATATAGCCAGTACTGAGAACCTTGGGACTAAAGGTTCTTGAGTCTTGCTAATCTCATCTGTCCTCACTGAAAGTCCTTGAGGTAGTCCCTGGGTCAAGCAATACTCTCTTCCATGAGATAAGAAACTAAGGCACAGAGAGGTTAGCAGGTTCCTCTGACACTGTGCAGCCAAATGACAGCACCAAGATTGAATGGACATCTCCAAATAAATGACACCTTGTCCCCTAGCGACACGTACACGGACTATACCTATGAAGACTGACTGGGGAGCAAGGTGTGACCATCTGTGCCAAGGACATCATGGAAGGGTATGGAACAGTTCTGAGCTAACCATTTCATCAAAAGAGAAAACAAATGGCTAAATACTTATTTGAAACCATGTGAAAAATAAAGTATAACTTTTTTAGGACTGATTACTTGCACATATATGCTATATTAATTAAGGTTTCTTAGAAATTCCACCAAGACCCACAGACTTCCTGTTTGTGATGCTTTCTGTATTAATTCCTAATTTACTTCTTACCTGTCATTATAAGAGCTGGAAAACTCTTTAATGTCCCTGTAATGTAGGTCTAAAAAAGCACTACACATCTGCATTTGCACGTGACCACATGATACAAACCTCTGTGCCTCCCCCATCATTAGCCCACTATGCTTGCCAGGTACCCAGTACCCTCTCCTGGGTGTTCATCTGCCCATGATTTGCTTAGAAGTCCAAAACACTAACCCATCAGCTGCACTGGGCCTCCAGAATTGACTTTTACCACTGACTATTTTATTTCACTCAGGATGCAAACTTCACTATTCACATTCTGGGTAACTACCAAGACTTATTTTGCAAAAACAAATGCCCTGCAATCTCACCTAGTCGTCCCTTCCTCCATTTCACATGACATAATGCCTTCACATTCTACACCCACTGCTGCATCTGTGAAATAATTTTATCATGATTCCCTTCTCCACTGTAAGCTCCCACATCACATCCTGGATGAGGAGGCATAGCCTTTTCCTTTAAAAAAGTCTCCCCGACTGCAGAACTGTTTCTTGAGCCAAGTAGAATCAAATAATGAAGCACACGCAGGGACAAAGGGAGACATAGCATGTCCTAGGGAGGAAGATGCCTTTCCACGGACTGCTGTGGTTCCAAGCACACTCTAAAAAAGGTCCTGCTCCTCAGTTCACACTGTAAAAGGCATCTGTTCTTCCACTGCAACTTATGTGGCCTCCTGAAGACTACGTAATATTCATCGATGCTAAGTGGGTACTACACCTAACAGGACATATTTATTGACTTACAAGATGCAGTGTGGAGCTCTGAAACGATTTTTTTCCCACTTGGAGACATACACTTACTTATTCAGAGCCCCTCCCTCATTTCAAGAGGCACACGCACAGCAAATCTCCTTGGAATAGAATCTGCCTCTCCAGCTCCTGCAGAAGGGGCTTGGAAAGCAAGGAGAACAAAAAGAGGCAATACTATCTGTGCCCGGGGCAGTGCCACCTGGGGGTGGGGAGACTCTATCCTCCTGCCCCCTAGAGGGGTTTTCACAAAAATTAAAATTTAAAAAAAAAAAGTGAAGAAAAGGGAACTTTGCAAAAGTGCATGTAGAATTCTGGTTAAAACAAAGATAACTGAGGCATCATATTTCAAAGACCCACCACCCTCAAGTATGAAGTAAAGCAAGACACTGTGTTTTTTCTCGCTCATGCTTATTTGATGCTTACGAGTTTGCCACTTGGTTTCTAAAACATGCAGAGAGCAGCGTTTGTGGTTTAGGTGTCCAGGCCATACCAACCCTGACAGCTGACTCACCAAAGACTATCAGGAACAGAAGGAACCCCCTTCACTGCCACGCAGCCCACAGCACAGACCAAAAACTAGTGGTGCATGCTTGTCCGGAATTTCATGGTGCAGTGCCATGGAGGGGGATGAGTAGGGACCACCCAGGCAACCTCCAGAATGCTCTGACATCCAACGCACGTCCCAGAACAGAAGGGTTGCAGCTGGGCGGAGAGGTAAGGCACTAAGGCTGCAGCAGGTAGGAAGACACCAACCAAAGGTCCAAAGCTACAACCCCGGGAGGAGAGGCGCTGTTCACGACGCTGCCTTAGGATAAAAATCAGATTTTTTAAAGGATAAGAACATAAAATAATCAAATTCCTGTTTTTTTGCCCTCCAAAGGATACTTTGCTTTCCCCTCAGAGAAATCTGCCTCAGTTCTCAAATTGGAACAGCAGCGTAGAGGGCTCCAGAGCAAGCACTTGTTGGGGAAGTCACCTTCTTTTCCCACGCTCTCTCTTCCATCATGTCTTTGCAAGTCGCCTTTCCTTTTTCCTGTTTCGGCTTGAGGATAAGCATTCCGGACATTTCACCTTCCCCTGGAGTAGGACCAAATACTTCTTCTGAGGCAGCTCTGAGCACCCCCTGGGTCACAGCTTGATGAACGCAGCGGGCAGGGTGGGCTGCTGCTCGGTGTCTGGGGGCGGGAAGACACTGGATATGGCTATGTCCACGATGCCCTGGCACAGCTCTGGGTAAAGCTTCCTGGAAAGTGTTTAGAAACATATCACTGAGGGTGGTGATCAAAGTTTTCAGGATCTGCCCTAGAAATTCCATCTATGAACACATTTCTAAAACTGGTTTCTACTGGATATATACAAACACCACAGAAGGCACTGCATGAGGAAGAAGCATCCCCTAAACAAATATTTCTGGGCCACCCTGGTGGTGCAGCGAGTTGAGCACAGCACTGTGAAGCTGTCCCCTGTCTCTGCAGTGCAGGTTCGATTCCTGGCTGGCCAGGGAGATTCCCACATGGTGCAGCAGACCTTTCCTGTCTCGCCCACTGCTCCCCTCAGCAGTGTATTTTGGTCCATCTGCCTTTTCTGCTCCCTGCTCTGTCTCTGGTGAATCCTTTCACCCTCCCGTGCCTCTGGCCTGTACCCCAGCTCTTGTATAAAAATAAATAAATCTTTAAAAAAACAAACAAAAAAACCCAACAAATATTTCTGGAAGGTCTTGCAGGTAAACAGGCACCTCCTGCTCTGGCTGGCATGGAAGAACAAATAATTTCACTGGAGTCTGTCTGTGATGAGTATGTGTGGAGGAGAAGCACTCAGCATGGTTGGGGGTTTTAGGAACGACCACCACGAGTGACAGCTAAGCTAAGGCCTGGAGAATGAATGAAGCCTCACAGAATGGATGACAGGGTAGAAGAGAGGATGAAGAAGAAAGAGACAGTCACAAGTGAGTTGGGGGTGGAGAGAAGAGGGGTAGCACAAATGGAAGGAGGGGCAGATGCCAAGAAGCAAGACCTCAGAGCATCTGGGAAGTGCCTCAATGCAGTGTGAGGCTGGAGACAAGGTCGGGTCAGGCCATACAGGGCCCGTGGTGATTTTAAGATCATGAAATTGAATAAGGTCACATGCAGAGAAAGTAGCGGATAGAGAACATCCAAGTGAGGCCCTGGCTCGGGCAGAGGAGGAATAGGAGGTCAATCTCGCCCATTCTTCCTTAGTCACGTCTTCCCAGTACAGAGTGTGCCAAACCACCACCCAGTCTCAGCAAGGGTGTGGTCAGCTGCCAGGAATGGTCTGAGAGGTCCGGGCAGGTAAGAACAGGGGAAGTCACTGGCCATGGCAACAAGGACTTGGGAACTTCAAAGAACAGTGTCTACAGGGCAGTCAGGATGGAAGCCAGTTTGGAAAGAGCCAGACATGGTTGGGAACGGAGGAAGAGGAGATGGCTTGTGCAGACCTGCTTCCCAGGAGTCCGGCTACAAGGGGAGGAAGGTGAGGGCAAGGTCCCTGGAGAAGGATGTGACATCACATTTGGAGTTGCTATGGACACAATGCTGGTGGCACCGCACAGTACAGAAGGAAGAGGGCGACACTGAAAATGAGATCCAGGAGAAGACGAGGGAAGGCAGGACAGGGAAGCTTAGAGCACAATGGCAGGATGAGCCTTTGACAGGGGGAGAGGAGAAAGGGGGGACAGGAGAGAGTGGGCATACCATGGTGGAGCTTCCTTCCGACCTCCTCACCAAACATTACCCACCAAGGGGGATCTTGTACATCCTATACTTTATGAAAGAGCTGTCTTGGTCTGTGACCTGTATTTGTCTAGTCTCTGTCTGGTCCGGTTTCTCTCCACTAAGGGCAGGGCTTATGTCTCCCAGGCTTATGTCTCCCAGGGTTACCTAATGAGTACTTGTTAGTTGCAGGCATGGACAAATGAGACACAATCGCACCTGTCATAGCCATCAAGCAAGTGGCAAAGGCATGGCTCCTAATGAAAGAAGTGCTATGTGTCACTACTGCCTCTTTCAGGTACAGGACTTTCTCCTAGAGCTTGAGAAATCACTCCATTTTCCCCAAGATGTGGACATGGGGAACCATGAAAGATCTTGACATCAGGAAAATGGGTCTTAGAGCTAATATTGTGACAGGATTAAGTCTGAATAACTTTCCCTTACATATAAGGTACCTACAGTGCAGTCTCAACTTACTTTTCATCTTCATCTTCCCGTCCCCCATGGCACTAAGACCACGCTGCAGCCAGGCTTCTCCTTGAAGGGAGGTTCTATTCACCAATGCACCACCCCCCAGATGAGCCAGCACAGAGCAAGACCCCACTGGGGCTGTGTTCCCATTCTGAAGGCTCTTCCCTGATCCCCTTGGTGCATGTGAGTCTCTTCTCCTACAGTCCAGCTCCATCCAGCCCCACGATGTCTACGATGCCTCTCAGGTTGCTTCTTGTCTGGGAGCCCCTGAATGTCTCAGTCGTCACTGTCTCCCCCACCATAGGACCCTGCTCACTCAGCTCATCAGTCATTTGTTTTGTTGAAACTCACGGCATCTACCACTCAAATCCAACGTAAGTGGGGAATGGGAAAGGAAACGACGCAGCGAAGTGCCCTGTGTGCCAATGTACCCCCCAAAGGACCCCAATCACTGCAGCAGCTCCCGCACAGAAGGCAAAGGGTTTTGCTTAACACCTGGTCGAGGAAGCCCTCCACCTCGCCATGCTGGGCTATTTCACCTGTGAAACCAACCTCCCACCTGTTTAAACACAAAGGCACTGGGGCTTACTGAGCACAAGCAGGGGCGCCGTTGACCTCAATGAGCCAGACCTTCAGCTCCTCGTCCACCATGAAGTCGAAGCCGAAGAGCTGGAAGCTCTGGTAAGGGAGGTGCTTGGTGCTGATGGCGGGCTCCACGCTCAAGAGGCAGCTTCTGTGGGCCAGAGGGGAGAGCACTCTGAGAACAGCATTGGCTGAGAAGGAGCACAAGGGATGGGCTTGGATGATCTTATATAAAATCTGTTCAGAAAAATCAGGTTTGACTTAAGTTTTTTCCTAAATTTATTACCAATTAATCATTCAAGGTCATGCCCAAGCAATTTGTTAGAAACCTCCACAACCAATCATGTTCTTACAAGTAGAGGCAGCTTTCCCTGTCAGCAATGAGTCACTATGGCCTCTATAAATGTGGATCTGTCCAAGAGAAAGGCTGCCACCACATGTTTGTAATAAATAAAACATTTCCAGGTATTTTTGTCATATAAAAGAACAACTTGTCTTTGGTAAAGAGCAGATTTGAAAAAAAAAATGTTGGTCTTGTTCATTTCTTTGCACTAGCTCCAATTCTAACGCCAACTTATTACTAAATGATTTAAGATATATATTATATGTATATACACACACATTACAGAGCAACCAAATATTGAAATAGAGACTAGAATTACTAACATCAACTACTGTTTGAAAAAATTGGAGGATTTTAGTAAAATGGAAAAAAGTTGAAAGTGAATCTCAAGGGCCTCCCTGGTGATGCAAGGGGTTAGGTTGTAGCACTATGAAGCTATCCCCAGCCACTGCAGCATGAGTTCAATCCCTGGCCAGGGAGCTACCCACATGGCACAGCAGACTCTCCTGTCTCTCCCACTGCTCCCCTCAGCAGTGCATTTCAGTCAATCCGCCTGTTCTGCTCCCCACTCTGTCTCTGGTGAATCCTCTCACCACCACCCCCCGACCTCTGCCTACACCCCAGTTCTTGGATTCATAAATAAAAATAAATCTTTTATTAAAAAGACTCTAAAATTATTAGACTCTATGTCCTTCTACATAGGTGTGTTTTTAGAAGGAAAGAGATACAGGGAACTGGCTTCCACATAATTAACTTTAAGATGATTAGTAGCTTTGGACTCATGAAGTCTGCACTCTATGAAAGTTTAAATTCATGATTTTAGAGAGGGGCTGAGCATTCTATGAACATGGAGTCAGGGCATTGCTCCCCAAACCTCCTTCCACCATTCCTTCTTCTGTGTCAACTTCCTTTTCTTTCTCCCCAAAAGGAAATTACATCTATAGATATAATTAAATATTTAACAATAATTTTGGACAGTCATGTAAGAACCAATTGGATAAGTTTCTTCTCCCATCCATCCTTAGCCTGCATGAGAAACCCCTCTATCACATGTGTTTCCATATCTTAGTTTCTATTCTATGAGACAATATTTAACTTTTGTTTTACTTGAAATACCCTTTATTATAATTAAGAAAAGCTTTAAAATTTAATAGATTATCATGGTAAAAACAAACCCAACAATACTAACCAATAAAAAGTGAAAGAAACATTACATTCTGACTAAAAAAAAAACCAAAAGCCAGAACCAAATCAAAACTAAATATTATTTTTTACCTCCTGGAAGCTCAAGATTAATAATTTACTGTAAAAGACTTCTTTTTTCATCATCAGAGACATTACATGTACTTCTTTTTTCAGTTGGAGTGGGAAGTTAGGGGGAGGCTAGTTGGGTTGGGAGGGAAACATGAGTGCTGTGAGGTGCATTTATAGCACCAAAGGAGCAGCACTTTCTAAACTGCACAGAACAAAGAGGAGGGGGATGGTATAGCAAATATCCAAAAAATCTTCTGCCTGAAATAGGATTCTTTCTTTAGCATTTTTAATTTATCTGGTGTCAGAATTCTATCCAACTATCATTCCCAAAGAAATAAGGCCCTGAGTCCTATAATTATTCTGCTAGACTCGAGGTGAGAATACATCAAGAAAAAGTCTCAGTCACCAGGACAGAGTGGTACTGACAGGGCAGATAGATCAAAAGATGGGAGATCCTAGGGGCAGATCCTCATATTAATGGCCACCTGACTTATAACATTATAAGACCCGGCAAAATGCAGTGTGGAAAGAAAGGGCACTCTTATGCACAAATGGTCCTAAGTCAGTGGGCTAGCCTTGTGGAAAAACATGAAATTTGACATATAACAATTCAGATTATAGGTTTAAAATATAAGAGATAAACCTCAGATAACCATCAACTATAGACAGGACAAATCATGGAATATTCACACAATGGAATATTCACAGCAGTAAAAAAGGATGCATTACTATGTACAACAACAGAGATGAAATCAGATACAATGCTGAGATAAGGTGAACATAAAATAAGAAATATAATTCCATTTCCATAAAGTTTAAGAAAAAGCAAAAGGAATCTATGGTAGTAAAAAGAAGCGTGGTTACCTTTGGAAATATATATATGTATATATTTTGAGAAAGTTCAAAGTCTTCAGGGATTCCATAAATGTTTTATATTCGGATTTGCAATATGATTAGGTGAAAGTAGGCATAATTAAAAAGTCACTATGCTGTGCACTTAAGATTTGTGGACTTTACCATATCCAAGTTTCACCTCAATTTAAAAAAAAAACCTCTATTGGGCCTCCCTGGTGGCTCAAGGGGTAAAGCACAGCACTATGAAGCAATCCGCAGCCAGTGCAGCACAAGTTCGATCCCTGGCTGGCCAGGGAGCAACCCACATGGTGCAGCAGACCTCTCCTATCTTGCCCGCTGCTCTCCTCAGCAGTGTTTTTCAGTAGATCTGCCTGTTCTGCTCCCCACTCTGTCTCTGGTGAATCATCTCACCACCCCACCCCTCACACCTCTGGCCTGTACCCCAGCTCTTGTATGCATAAATAAATTAAAAAAAAAAACCTCTACTGGACTTAATAAAATATGATAAATGCATAGATAACACTAAAAAATTATTTCCAGGCTTATTAAGAAACAGTATCAAGAGAAAAAACCAAGGAAATAGAAAGAGACCTATAAATTAAGAGTTGGCAAACTTTTTCTACAAAGGGCCAAACAGTAATTGTTAGAGGTTTTGTAGACTACATACAGTCTCTGCTGCATATTCTTTAATTTTTCAAAACCTTTTAAAATAAAAATCAAAGGAGAAATGTGAGACACAGAGAAAAGGAATAATCTCCATGTAATTAGAGACCCAGAAGAAAAGATAATAGTTGAAAAGACAACGGACAAGAACATTCCAAAACAAATAAAAAATATTAAGCCACAGAAGCATTATAAAGCCTACGCAGGAATAAATACAAAGAAAACCACACAAATTTCACAGTAAAATTTATAAAATGAATCTCAGAAAAAGGAAAAAAGAGCAATACTAAGATTTCAGCTGACTTAACAGTAAAGATGGAAGTCAGAAGATAATGGCATGCTACCTTCAAAGTGCTAAAAAAATTAACTGCTGATCAAGATATTTGTTTCTAGAGCAATGTCCTTAAAAATAAAGGTAAGTATACTAACAAATAAACACTAAGAAAATTCATCTCTAGAAGACCTAACTTAAAAAGCACTAAAATTAGTTTTTTAAGACTAAGGAAAATGATCCTAGATAAAAGCAAGAAAATGCAGGCAAAAAGTAAAGCAACATGTAGAGTTAACATGTATGGATAAATCTAAATGATTATTAACGACACATAAAAATAAAAAATAAAAGTGCTTTGTGAGTTTAAAATATACATAATCACCCACAATCAAACCCCTCTCTGAGTCTTCCCCATCTTCCCCTCCAGAGTTAACCTCTACTCTGAATTTTGCATTTAATCATTTTTTGTTCCTTTCTATATCTTTACCATATATGTACATTCCTCTAACTAATGTACTATTTGGTTTTAGTTGCTTTTCCATTATATGAATAAAGTATGCCTGCATACATCTTCTTATATGCAGTTTATATTTTTTGCTTGACATTATGTTTGTGTAATTCCATGAAAACATCATTCAGGAATAATCGAAATAAAGACATTAATTGGAAAACAAAGGATTTATCACCAGCAGAATTCCTCTAAAAGAAATGCTAGAGTGCAAAGGGGAGTGACAAACCTGGAACTTTAGATCTAAAGGAAGAGCAAAAAAAAGGTAAATATCTGAGTAAATATAAAATAATATTTTAATTTAAATATTTAATATTTAAAATTATTTGAAGAGTGTTTCTAATAGACAGCATATAGTTTGGTCTTTTTTAAAAATCTAATCTGACTAGCAAACATATATTTTATGACTGTTGATGGCAAAAATTTTATACTATTATGTGGTAGAGATTTCAATGTGTGTAGAGTAACAGAGGAGACAAGTGAACTGAAGAAGATGGTAAGGTTTCTGCATCTTATTTGAGGGATAAATCAATAATTCCGAGGAGACTATAAAGCATTAGGCTTGTACATTATAATCCCCAGAGTGACTACTAAAAAAGTATAAAGATATGCTGTTAAAATTAAACAGAAAAATTAAATGGAACTCTAAAATATTTCAAATAATTCAAAAGAAGGCAGAAGAGGGAGGAAAAAAACAAAAACTATCGGGAACAAATAGAAAATAAATAATAAAATGCTAGCTATAAATCTAACCAAATTAATAATTATATTTCATTGAAATGGTTTAAATACACCAGTGGATATACAGAAATTATCATATTGGATTAAAAATAAAACAAAACAAAACCCAACTATATGGTATCTATAAGAAACCCACATTGCAGAATAAAATAGAAGTGAAGGGGTGGAAAGAGACATACCATGCAAACACTGATCAAAAGAAAGTAGAGTGTATATCAGACAACAGACTTCAAAATAAGAAATAACACCAGAGACAAAGATAGAAATTACATGACAATTGGTCAGTTCCCCAAGAAGAGAGAACAATTCTAAATGTGTATGTACCTATCTTGAAAATATAGGAAGCAAAAAAGACAAAACCATAACTGGAAACCAATGCATTTCCTTTCACAATGGAAGGAATAGGTAGAACTAAGAATTGGCAAGGACTTCAATAGCAAAATGCAACTCAACTCAAACAGCACTACCAGCCACCCTCACCTGACACTTACAGATCCCTCTGTCCAACTGCAGCAGAGTAACATGAACATAAATGTTCACTAAGATGGACCATATTCTGGGCCATTAAACAAACTTAAATAAAATTTAAAAACATGAGACCATACAAACCACATTCTCTGACCATAATGGAATAAAAGTAGAAATCAGAAACAGAAAGGAATGTGGAACAATCTCCAAATATTTGGAAAGTAAGCAAAATTTCTAAATAACACACGAGTTGAAGATGGCTTCAGCAAGAGAAACCAGAAAACATTTAATAAAATAAAAGCACAACATAGCAAAATCTGGGGCATGCAATCAGTGAGCACATGAAGGGAAACTGCTAACATTAAATGTTTATACTTTTAAAAAAATGAGAGCTTTCAAATCAATGATCTAACCTTTCACTTTAAGGAAAGTAGAATAAGAAGCAAATTAAATCCCCTAACGTGGAAAGACAGAAATAAAGAACCTAAGTCAGAGAAATCAAAAACAAAAAGATAGAGAAAACCAACAGTCAAAAGTTGACTGTTTTTGAAAGGATTAATAACACTGATAATGTCTGGTCAACCTGTCCAAGTAAAGAGAGAAGGCATAAATCAGCAATGTCAGGAATGAAAAAAGTGATATCATTACAGGTTTTATTGATATTAAAAGGAAAATAATAAGATATTATAAATAATTTTGTCTTTAAATTAGACAAATGAAACAATTTCTTGAAATGTACGAACTCCCAGAGCTCCTCAAGACACATACAACCAAAAAAGATACAATAAAGTTACCTTATAATATGTTTGATTTGTAGTAAGATACTACTTTCCAGGGTAATGTTCAAAGCACTTGTTAGGTATTGATTGAACTCCTCAAAGAACATTTCGTTCCCTTCTTCATACTTCCCATAGTTTTTTGAGTACTCCTTTTGAATGCAGTGATTGGTCAAATGGCAGGTCTTGTCTTGGAAATTATCAACATGGTATGGTTCTGAGGCAGTCCGAAGTACACCCTCTCTATAGAGGTAGATATTATATTGATGATCCACCAAGACCCAGCTCCTACAAGTCAATAAAACACTGCTTTATTCAACTCACCCAAGGTTTCGCCATATTATATATATCATTCGCACACCTTGACTCTTTTGAGAGGAATCAGAGGATGGAGGTAGGTTCTAAAGTTACAGGAGGACTGAAAGCTGACCACAGCTATGGAACTAAAGCATTCAGAGATGGGGAGGGTGGCGGAGGGGTAAGCACAAAGAGGGAGGGAAGCACAATGGACTATGGCTGATTTGATGGCGGGTACACTATGGTGATGATACCTAATGTGGGGTGGGGATCATAATGGTAGCCCAATTTAAAAAATAATAAATACATTTATAAAAATAAGGTTACAGGATGCAAGTTATGACACTTAGCAAGATATGGGTTATACCTCTAATGAGGCAAACAAAATACTTCACCACAAATGACCAGAAGACTTCGATCTATTAAAAAGAGAGCATTTTGTAGAGATCTGGATGGGTTAAGGTTAATCTATGGACACTTTGTTGCTCCTCTAGTAATTTTAAAAAGATTATTCCTCCTGAAGCTGATCTGACATAAGACTGGTGTTCAAGGGCCTCCCTGGTGGCGCAGTGGGTTTGAGTGCAGCGCTATGAAGCTATCCACAGCCTTTGCAGTGCAGGTTCAATTCCCAGCCCGCCAGGGAGATACCCACATGGCGTGGCAGACCTCTCCAGTCTCGCCCGCTGCTCCCCTCAGCAGTGTATTTCAGTCAGTCTGCCTGTTCTGTTCCCCACTCTGTCTCTGGTGAATCCTCACACCCCCCACACCTCTGGCCTGTACACCATTTCTTTATCCGCAGCCACTGCAGCACGAGTTCAATTCCCGGCCAGGGAGGTGATCCACATGGTGCAGCAGACCTCTCCTGTCTTGCCAGCTGCTCCCCTCAGCAGTGTGTTTCAGTCAATCTGCCTCTTCTTCTCCTGCTCTGGTGAATTCTCTCACCCTTCCACACCTCTGGCCTGTACCCCAGTTCTTGTATAAATAAATAAATCTTTTAAAAAAAAAAGTTCATGAAATCCTTAAAAAGTGGGACACAAATAATTAAGTGAAGACTTATTATTTGAAAGGGGGAAGGTGTTGTGTCATCTGTTGTATCTGAATTATGTGTTCTATGTACATCTCTCAGTTTCTTTCATGAGCAAGTACTATCTGTACTATCTATATATTTCTCTTTGGTTCCATCAGTTATGTTCATTAAAAGAATACTAAGAAAATTCATAATTTTAATAACATTTTCTAGAAAGCAAAAAGAAATGTTAAAAGAAAAATAGAAAATGAGGTACAGAAGCTCAGTTCCATTCAGCAGCACTCAATTTTGGTAACATTAAATACAAAAACTTTCTTACATTCCATGTGACCCCTCTCATCACACACTACTGCAATTTTTTCAGATGGGTAAAACAAAACCTCCAGACACAAATGCATTACCGAATGTCAAACTTGCGATGACCTGGCTCCAGAAGCAGAGGGTGCTCAAGGTATTTCTGGATCACGTGCACCTGGCCCTGGTTGTCTATAAAATCCAGAAGCTCTGTAGCCTCCGAGGAGATGAGAATGCCTTCACCTGACAGGGCAAAATCAAAACAGAATTAGTCCAGGTTATCCCAAGAGAAAAAGCTCTCTAGAAAGCCAGAAAGAAAATACTAACTATAGGAAAAATTGACAAGAGGCTTTTATTAGCCTTCTTACTCTTCTCTTTCTTCCCCACTTCTCTCTGCCAATTGCTCAAACCGCCCCTCTTCCCACAAGCGCATCAGGGTATTAACTCTTTTTCCCTATAGGACTATGAACACTATCTCAGCAGGCTTCAACCATGAAATTTCATATTCACAGACTTTCAAAGTGTCTAGCAGCCTAAATAAGTGCCACCCCACTAGTAAGCCACTGGCTACCACCATGAAGACTGTATATTGCTTATGGCCAATAAACCCACATCTAACCCCGTATCTTACAGAATATCAAGAAGGTCAGGACATAAAGATGAATGTAGAAATACATTCCTCGTAACACTATAATATTAAAAAATGGGATACATTCAAAGTGCCCATCAACATTAAGTAAATGATACAATAGCCTTCTGAATGGCTTTATTGAAATACATTGTGCATGCCATAAAATCAAGTTTTTATTATATTCCAAGGTTTTGCAACCATCACTATAATGTAATTTATAGCATTTCATTAACGCCCAAAAGAATCCATCCCCATCAGATGTCATTCTTTATTCACTCTTCACACTAGCCCCTAACAATCACTAATTTACATTCTTTCTGTATGGATTTGCCTATCCTAGATGTTTTATATAAAAGGAATCATATGGTATGTAGCCTTTTTTGTGTATGGCTTCTTTCATTTAACATGTTTTCAAGGTTCATCTATGTTGTACCTTGCAGTACATTTCTTCATTTCTTTTGTGACTAAATTATATTCCATTACATGGATATACCACATTTTTTTCATTCATTCAATGATTGACAGGTTGTTTAAGCTCTGTTTGCTCTTATAAATAATGTGGGACACAAATATTATGTGAGAGGAGACAGAGTGGGAAGCAGTACAGGCGGATTGACTGAAATACAATGCTGAGGGGAGGAGTGGGTGAGACAGGAGAGGTCTGTTGCGCCAAGTGCGTTAGCTCCCTGGCTGGGGATTGAACTCGTGCTGCAGTGGCTGCCGATAGCTTCATAGTGCTGAGACTTAACCCCTTGCACCACCAAGGAGGCCTAATCTTGTGATTTAGACTTGCATTTCCATAATACTAATGATGTTGAGCATGAGCTTACTGACTATATATCTTCTTTAGAGAAATGTCTACTTATATTCTCTGCTAATTTCTTAAGTGGGTTGTTTGTTATTTTATTGTTAATTTGGTTTTTTTTTTGTTTTTTTAAAAAAGATTTTATTTATTTATGCATACAAAAGCTGGGGTACAGGCCAGATTTGCGGGGAGTGAGAGGATTCAGAGTGGGGAGACAGAGTGGGGACCAGAACAGGCAGATCGACTGAAATAGACTGCTGAGGGGAGCAGCAGGCGAGTGAGGAGAGGTCTGCTGCTCCATGTGGGTTGCTCCCTAGCTGGCTGGTGATCGAACTCACGCTGCAGAGGCTGTGGATTGCTTCATAGTGCAGTGCTTAACCCCTTGTACCACCAGGGAGGTCCTTATTGTTAATTTGTAAGAGCTCTTTATATCTGGGTGCCTTCTAAGGTCAATGGCTTACAACATCTTCTCCCATTCAGAACAGCTCACTCTCACATATTGCCCTCTTAAAGCCACAACTACCTTCCTCCCACCACCACTCTCCTGATCCCTGGCAACCACCAATCTTCTCCATTTCTTAAATTTTGTAATTTCAAAGTATTATGTAAAGAGAATTATACAGTATGTGGTCTTTGGAAATTGCTTTTTCATTCATCATTACTTCCCTGAGGATTCATCCAAGCTGTTGCATTTACCAGTAGTTCCCTTCCCTTTTATTGCTGAGTAGTACACTCCATGGTATCAATACACCAGTTTGTTAAACCATACACCAGTTAAAGGTCATCTGAGTTGTTTCCAGTTTTGAGCTATTATGAATATAGTTGCTATGAGCAGTTATGTGCAGGTTTAATCTAGGGCGTGTGTGCCTTGCCACATGAATTTTAGAATAAGCTTGGTGTAAACAAAAATCTTGCAGGCTCTTGATAGCAATCATATTAAAGATACAGACCAATTTGGGGTGAATCAGCATCTTTAGTACGCTGATTCTTGCTATGCATGGACATGATTTGTCTGTCCATTTATTTAGTTCATCTTTGATGTTTTTTCAGTTACTTTGTAATTTTTAGCATCTAGATCCTGTATATACATGTCTTGCTAAGTTTATACATAAGCATCTCATTTTCTTTGGTGTGAATATAAATGTACCATGGTCTTAGTTTTAGTTCCCACATGCTCATCACTAGTATACAGGAATGAAACTGATTTTTGTGTGTTGATCTCATCTCTTGCAACCTTGCTGAACTCATCTTTCAGTTTTAGGACTTTCCATCTATGCTTTAGATTTACAGTTCATAGTATTTGGGTCTCATACTTTCAGTACAGATTAATTTAATACTGCATCTATCCTAAAAGCCAACCCCTTTTTCATCTACCCCATTTTTGTCACTTGTACCATTTGGTTAGCCTCTTTAAAAAGAAATTGCAAATCATTTCGGAAAAGCTCCCTTCTCTTCATGTGAACATGACTCATACTTTTTCAGCCCCCTTAGGAACCACACTCAAATTTCTTAGTACCTCTTTATTGCCACCTGCTAATTCTTCACTATAGACCTTGGTCTCTCTTTTGCTATAGCACCTTGCATACTACTTTGAGAATAATCATCTTAAAACATCACTCTTCTACTAATACTCTGAAACTATTTCAATCACTAGTGACAACTTGCTCTCCAGAATCTGGTCACATTCCCTCTCATCCAACCTTACTTTTCTTCTTATGTTATTTCCTTATTAATGATTTCTTACAGAAAGTTAATATATCTAATAATACTGGTAGGTGGGTAAAATTAGTGTGAAGGAGATACTTTTTATAAAGTTTAAGAAATTATTATTCAGAAAACATAGCATTAAAGGGAAATGGAAAAGTTATCCACAGTCTTATTTCCTAATGTATATTTTCCCTCCATGTTACCTTTCTTTGCATAGGAGTTCAATCATGGTGAACTCACTTCTTTATCCTTTTTCACTTTATGCTGCCAATATTTCCACTGTTTCTACATTAACTTCACAATTATGTTAGTGGCTGAAAAAAGTACACATTTGTGGATGTAAAAAAAAGTACACATTTGTTTACTGATTGCTGGACAATACGACTGTTTTTAAATAATATTGTGCTATGACTGGTAACATAGTAGTAAGTTTGCAGTAGATCACCCTAATTTCCTTTTGAAATACTTCCCTGGACTAAATTTTCAGGAATGAGATTAGTGGGCCAAAGAACATGAACACATTATGGCTCCTACACTGTTATTCTATCACTTTTTCAAAGGGCTGTGGATTACCACTAAGTGGGAGAGCTCACAACAAACTTCAGCAACAGTGTCACTAAGGGTAACTTTATTTTGTAGATATACAATGATACGTAAAAGTCTCCACTGACTTTATAAGTTCTGGATACTAGAATAGCATGTTTCCATGTCTTTGTTATTGCATTCCTTTATATCCTCCTTAACTAAAGGGGAGAAATGATGAAGGAACTTTGGACTCTTCAAGGAGCTTCAAGGTCACAGTCTTTCTTGTTCTCTGGTCCCATCTCAACTTTTAGCTTATCTGGAAACAGATGCATCATCAACTTGTTGACTAGACTGTCAGTCCATGAGAGCATGAGATCTTGTCTGTTTTATGTAACTCTCTTCATCCAAACATTCACGACTACTTCTAATCATCCATTCATTTACTCAGTAAATGCTGAACCTTTGTTGGAGTGCAGGGTGTTCTTATATCCCCAAGAGACAGGGTTGAGCGCGGCAGTAACAAGGTCTAACCATGCTTTAACAGGCTCTCTGTCTACTATATTGTGTGCAAACTCTGGAATGGTCAAGAATAGGACAGAGAGCAATGCTCCAGGTAAGGGATAAAGGAGACTCACATCCAAAATGAGCAATGGATGTAAATGGGCTTCACACTGAGTATACAACATACCCAACATATACTGAATATTTACTTAGCAAGGATAAAAGCCATTGATTCAGCCTATAGGTTTCAGTAGTTCTTAAACCAAAAAATACACACCAATTTTCTCCTCAACTCCTAAAACAAAATTTCTTCTTCACTTGGCATTTTATTCCCTCTTTACCTTGGCATTTTTACCTCTTTCACTTGGCATTTATTCCCTCTTTACCTCTCCCTGCTGCTGAGCATCAATCTATGTCTTGTTTTGGTGAGGGTCCAGAGACCATCCAGGTGGGATCAAGACCATGACTTGACAGGTCCTTCCACCAAAGGCCCTGTCTCACTCCTGGTTCTAACTCTAGTTAAAGCTCCATGTAAGCTGTCCTTGCAGTGGCCATTCTGATTATAGCCCAAATCTAGGAGGAGCCTGGAATCCTGTGAATGCCTATTTTCTCTTCTAGTTCCCTCACTATTAGAACCAAGCTCGGGGACAGTTCTTGAGGTGCAGTCATAAAAGGGGAAAGTAGGTGAGGTACCTGGCTCATGGCAAGAGTCCAATTCTCCCACTTTCAGGAGATTCCAGGTGATGCCCTCCTGCCTCATGGTTGGTGGAAAAGAAGGTGAGGTCCACTGGACCGGGGATAGAAATGAATACCAATGGCCAGATGGTCTTCCAAGGCAATAAAAGAAGAAGTAAGTTCAAAATTGAATGGTTGCTGAAAGAGCATATGATGGTAGTTACAGAGAGAGACTGTGTTTATGTGTTCATTACATTGGGAGCTACCTATATTTTAAACCTGAGATATCATAAATCTCATCCCTTCTGTGTATTCCTTCAACATACATTTATTAAGTGCCTATGGGGAAGAAAACAGAAATGAACAAAAAAGAAAGTCTGTGTTTAGTGGAGCTTACAGGGTGAAGGGGAGAGGAACAGATAAACAAACATGTAATATGGTGCTAGGAAGAAATTAGTGCAATGGAGGTAAATAAAGCAGAGTAAAGGATAGAAAGCAAAGGGCATAGAGGTTCTTTTAGATTAGAAAAGCCTTCTCTTTGAGTTGAGAGAAATAGAAAATAATCCACACAAATGCACTGCAGCTACAGAGACAGACTTCAGAGCATTTGTGGGTCAGCAGGCATCGTGGCTCCAGTACAGTGAGCAAGGTTAAGAATAGGAGATGAGATCAGAGCTATGGGAAATGTCAAATGGTGCAGGCTACCATTAGGAATCTGGAGTGTATTCTAATTGTATTGGGAAGCCAGCTGGTGAGTCTTAAGCAGGGAATAACATGATCAAATTTATGCTTTTAAAACAGCTCTGTCTAAGAACGGGAGAACTGGCTGTGAGCAGGTACTGCAATTACATAGACTGGAGAAACTAGAGCGCTGTTTTCAAGAGAAATTATGGAAATGGCAAGAAAAAGACTTAGAATATATTCTGAAGGTAGAGTTAGCAAGACTTGCTGCTATATTAGGAGTAGATTGTAAAGAAAAGAGCAGTCAAGGATAAATCCCAGGTTTGAGGCTACAGAGACTGGGTAAGGAGTGGGATCACGTACTGAATGGGGAGACTGAGAGAGGGACAGGCTTGAGTGGGGGAAGTCTGGAAGGAAATGAGTTCTATATCAGACACATTAAATTTGAAATGCCTGTTGTTGAATCTGGAGCTTAAAAGGAAAAGATCTCAGCTGGAGAGCTATACTTAGAAATCATCAGTTCACAAACAGATATTTAAAATTATGTAATCAGATGTGGTCTCTACCTTTGAGGATTCAGATTAGAATAGCCACTCATCTAAAGATATCATTAAAAATCTAACCTATGAGATTGAATAAAGCACAGCAGGAACTTACAGGGGAGGGAGAAAGGGAAGGAAAGCCAACTCACCTTTGGCACCAGCTGATGATTTTGCAATCCAAACATTGCCTTCTCCATCTTCTTTCTTTTTGTTGTAAGAAGCCAGGAAGAATTCCCTTTCATCTGTTCTTGAGTTATTGATAGGTGGGAGGATTCCATTCTGAGCTGGAGCAACTGGGGTCTTGAGATTAGTTGGATAAATCACATAGGACTCAGGGAACCACGTGCAGGACTCAGCAAGTTCTGGACTTGTCTTGATTAGCCTGGCAGAAGACAAAGGGTCAGCCGCCCTTCTTAGACACTCTGTCACTCTATTCAGAAATGTCAGTTATTACCCACTGAGCTCCACTAGGAGGTGGGGCATGACCCGGAGCAGGAGTTAGTCCCCTTGTCCCATTATAAGTATTTGATCTAGGCCAACTTCTAATATACTCTTGGGCAGCACATGGCTACTCCATGGCATCTTAAAGGTGCGTTCCAGATAATGTGAAGGGGCAAAAAGTCCAAAATTTTAGCTCCTTTTTGAAGGCATCTCTAAGGAAACAACTTGAAGTACTCCTGAGCCAATACCTTTCCAACAAAGATGTTGTGCCTGAGCTAGACCCTTACTTAAAAATCAAAGTGGGGAGGTGAAGAAACAATTTGGACTACTAGTAAAAAGTATTATCTTGGCCCACCTCTCTGGTGAGAAAAGGCTATTACCTGGGGATCTTAATTATCTCAAATTTTATTTCAGTTCTTCATTTTTTACTTTTAGCTCAGCCTGGCATCAGTGACAGAGTAAAATATGGACTCTTTCCAAAGTGGTATTAACTCCAGAAGTCATAACTACGTATGTATTTTGCCTCTCAAAATAACGTAACACAAAGGAAGACCAGGCCAGGCCCTGAAGAGAACACCTAATAAACATCAGGGCTTTTTCAGGGCTTCCAACTACATCTGCTCTCCAACCAGATCCTACATGGGACAACAGTATCACATTCCATAGAGTAGGACTGGGTCACGAGAAATGAATTTACCAGTATCACAAAGGTAGCAAGAAACGGCCAGAATGCATCCCCTAACTCCCAAGCCCTAACTAAACTTACCCTTTATCCCCCAGAATGAGAGGTAGGGAGGAAACTACCCAAACACCTTCACAGGCTTTTACTAAACTGTGTTCTCTTCCATAGAGCTCTTAAGGGCAATCCTGCGTTAAGATCACCTGCAAAACCCGGTCTATGAACAAAGAGCAGACATAACAAAAAGAAATTTTCAATTGAGATTTAAATTTTATTAAAGGTAACAGAACTTGGCCTCCCTGGAGGCGCAAGGGGTTAAGCACTGCACTATGAAGCGATCCAAGGCTTCTGCAGCATGAGTTCAATCCCCGCGGGGCCAGAGAGAAACCCACATGGCAAAGCAGACCTCTCCTGTCTCACCCGCTACTCCCCTCAACAGCGTATTTTGTCAGTCTGTCTGCTCTGTTCCCCACTCTGTCTCTGGTGAATCCTCTCACCCCCCACCCCCGGCATCTCTGGCCTGCATCCCAGCTTTTGTGTGCATAAATAAATAAATATTTTTTAAAAATAAAGGTAACAGAACTTGAAAGTTAATTGAACTCAACGGAACAAAAGAAATAGAAGATAAATTTCCAACCCACTGAATGTTCAACTGGAACAGCAATGTCTGATACAGTGATCACTAGCCATATGAGGTTTCTAAACTTCTAAAATGTGGCCAATGAGACTCAGGAGCTGAGTTTTAAATTCTAATTAGTTTTAATTTCAAAATGGAGGCATTGTAAAATATTTCTCATTAAGCACAACTTTGAGGTTTTGATGGAAGACATTTCACTTTAACTACCAACATGACATAAGGTAATTTTTGTATTTTGTCATAATGCACTGTGCATGTCAGGCGCACCCGTTGTTTCTAGCATTCTACATAAACACAAAAACACATCGCTGTTCTTCTCGGGGACAATAGATCAATTCAGTTCAAGTGGAGTTTTTCCCCATGCACTGATAAAACATTATAATGTGTTTATTATGCAACGAGCACAAGTTACAATGATAGCTATGTAAATAATAATTGGTAAAGTGAAATATAATTGTATTTCTAGTTAAAAATAAACGTGACAAAATTAAAAATTTAAAACAAAAGCATGTTGTGAATGTGAAGCTGAATGGGGACACAGAAGCTAGAATTAGAACCAGAACAGTAAGAAAAAATAAGAGAAAAGAGAACTGGAAAAGATTTTTAATAAACTTCACAATGAATGACAACTGCAGTTTGCTGTGGCAGAATAAAATGAAAAAAAAAAGGAGGCAGTTTCAGCAAATACATAATGAATTTCATAAGCAGTTTCTTTGTAACAGTCAAAAAATAATTAGTGGATGAAATCATAATTAAATACCTAACTAAAAATTTTAAACAAAATCTTAATAGGATTTGAGCTTGTAACTTTGATCAGCTATAAAGTTTTCTTATATACAAAAAGTCATTTTAGATGGAAATGTGGTAACAGAAAATATTTTGAGGAAAAGACTGAAAAAAGATATTTCACCAAAATGGGACAATTTTTTAAAAAGATTTATTTATTTATGCATACAAGAGCCGGGGCACAGGCCAGAGATGCGGGAGGGTGAGAGGATCCACCAGAGACAGAGTGGGGAACAGGACAGACTGACTGAAATACACTGCTGAGGGGAGCATCAGGAGAGGTCTGCCTCGCCATGTGGGTTTCTCCCTGGCCGACCAGGGATCGAACTCATGCTGCAGAGGCTGTGCACCGCTTCATAGTGCGGTGCTTAACCCCTTGCGCCACCAGGAAGGCCCAAAAAATGGGACAATTTTTAGCTAAGTCACAAACAATTCTCATTGTGCTCAAAACCTGCCTAACAACATCAAAGACTGACTCAAAATTTGAACAATCTCAAATATTTTTCTTTAGATTGGAGTTGCATGACAGAGACATTGCCCAATTAATACTTTGGGTATGTTTTGCTCAAAGGATTTCCAAATATATGAAAAAGTACTGTCAAATGGTAGCCTAAAAATATCAATCCCATGGTGTAGCTGTTTTTTTAATCTTTTATAATGGTCAAAGAAGAATTTGATGTGTATGTGAAAATTCAGTTTATCACAATAGATAGTACTTCAGCTAGGTTGTGCTAAATCTGGAGTTTTAATAGACTGATGTTTCTTTCCCTTCATAGCTTTATTTTATTCTATGATACATAATGGAAAAATTTGCTTCACTGTACCACCTGATACATTTGTGCTCAGTTTTCTGGAACCTACTCTCTGGATACAGAGAGTTACATTGGATACAGTTGTTAAAATGATTCAGTATACACTTGCAAATGCTACAATGATTTAGTTCATGGAACAGTTGAAACAGAAGACAATGAATTAAATGATACTGTGGTCTTTGCCAATGCTCACTGATTGAGAGATGAAAAGAGTTTTCTACAAAGATTTACTATACTGCTAGTTTCAATTCAGATCTTTCTTGAAATAAAAGGTTTTGGGGAGCCAAATTATCATTTTCATTCAATAATTTATTACTTCCTTCAATAACCAAAGATAAAAAATGGCAGCAGGACTTACATTTTCCCACCTATACCCACAAGTATATAAGCAAGCTAAATTAAAGCTGCAAGGGAAACGATGACCTATATACTTAATGACCTAACCGGAAAAATATGTGAATTTGTGTTCCAACTTCATAATACATGTTAATTACAGTGATTTTACCTATTTTTAAATTTTTTAAAAAAGATTTATTTTTATTTATGCATACAAGAACTGGGGTGCAGGCCAGAGGTGTGGGTGGTGAGAGGATTCACCAGAGACAGAGTAGGGAGCAGAACAGGCAGACTGACTGAAACACACTACTGAGGGGAGCAGTGGGTGAGTCAAGAGAGGTCTGCTGCGCCATGTGGGCTGCTCCCTGGCCGGGGATCTAACTCACGCTGCAGTGGCAGCGGATAGCTTCATAGGTTGCATCTTAACCCCTTGCACTACCAGGGAGGCCCCTGATTTTACCTATTTTTGTACCATGACTCAATATGCAGAACATTGGGCCTCCCCGGTGGCGCAGAGGTTGAGCGCTGGGTTGCGAAGCTGACCGCAGCCTCTGCAGCGCCGGTTCGATCCCTGGCTGCTTCCCCCACCACCGGAGGAGGGTCCCACATGGCTCGCAGACTTCTCCTGCCGCCTGCTGCTCCCCTCAGCAGTGTACTTTGATCCTTCTGCCTGCTCTGTTCCCTGCTCTGGCTCTGGTGAATTCTCTCACCCTCCCGCGCTTCTGACTGTACCCAGTGCTTGCATAAATAAATAAATCTTTAAAAAAATGCAGAAAATTTTAATTGTAATAGACAGCATTATGCAAATTAGCTGCAAACACTACAGGAAAAGACAAAAGAAAAACTTAGAACACTATTGATATAAATAAATTTAGCTTCTTTTCAATTAATTCAATACCTCCTTTGAATTTAATATTAATAATACAGATTTGACACAATTTGTGAATAAACATGGATAGTTTTTAAAATGGTATGTTTTTGCTTCAAAGTCAGGTCAATTATTTTTCTAATAAAATGAATCAGTTTGTCAATGTGTTCATGTGACTATTAAAGGAAAATGATTTTTTGGTATTCAGTTCAGTTGCTGAAAAACTTCAAGTATTTGGGAACAGCTTGGGCATATAAAACTACATTTTCCGGGCCTCCCTGGTGGCGCAGCGGTTGAGCGCTGGGTTGCGAAGCTGCCCGCGGCCTCTGTAGCGCCGGTTCGATCCCCGGCTGCTTCCCGGCCACCGGAGGAGGATCCCACATGGCGCGCAGACCTCTCCTGCCGCCCGCTGCTCCCCTCAGCAGTGTACTTCGGTCCTTCTGCCTGCTCTGCTCCCCACTCTGGCTCTGGTGAATTCTCTCACCCTCCCTCGCTTCTGACTGTACCCAGTGCATGTATAAACAAAACAAACAAACAAATAAAATAAATAAATAAAGCATGCCTCTATTAAAAAAAAAAAAAAAACTACATTTTCCATCCATGCATTTTTATGAAATCTAAATGCAGATCAAGGGATTTCAATGAAAACTTAGTGTCTGAATTAAGATGTGCTATAGATGTAAAATACACATCAGATTTTAAAGCCTCAGGATGAAAAAAAATGTATGTAAAGTATCTCACTGTTGTTTACTAATTACATGTCAAAATGTCTTAGATTTATTTGATTAAATAAAATATATCATTAAAATAAACTTCCACCTGTTTCTTTGTACTTATTTTAATATGGCTACTAGAAAATTTACAATGACATATGTGGTTAAACTTCTATTTCTGTTTGACAGTGCTACTCTGCAAGAGGACGTTCATCTGGAAGTCCTCATTTCGTATATAGAACCAAGACCAATTTCCACAGGAAGTCCTTTGCATTTGTTCTATGTCCTCATGAGCCCTTTGGGAAAGATACAGCAAATGGAAGTTTATTCACAACCACAAGGAAGAAATACTCTCAAGAGGAAAAGAAAATCTCCAATGTAGGCCAGAAGAAAAGCCTTTCAGGGATTTGGGATTGTAGGCTGGGAGCCTTGATGAATTTCTGGAACTCCCTGAAGTGAGAGGAGGAAGGTACCTGCTGTACAGGCTCCAGTGCAGAACCTTATCAAGGTTCTGGGAAACCCTGGGAGGGAACACCTAGTCCCAATGCCTGTGGCTCCTGCCTGTTCTGTTCCAGTGCAGAACCTTATCAAGGTCCTGGGAAACCCTGGGAGGGAACACCCAGTCCCACTGCCTGTGGCTCCTGCCTGTACAGACTAGAACTGCCCTGGCTCAACACTAATTCTGATCATGGGCAACACAGCTGTCTTCTAGGAGCTGCCATTTAAGATTATATTTTTAACTTTCTGAGTCCTTTCTAGTTATTCAAAATTATGGAAGAGAGATAAAAATGACGAAGACAAACATATGCTACTACTTCCTTCTACCTTAAGATACTGTTCGGGTGATAGCCGGCCATTAGCCTCAGTGCTCAGGGATGGGCAGTAGAGCAGACGCCATTACAGATATCCTTTCTGCAGGGACTCCTTGCTGTGGTAAGAGTTGACTGCCAAGGGCTGATATAAGCCCCTTTTCCAGGGACCCAGTCCCTGTTCAGATATGCTGGGGAGCCGTGCTCCCCGCTTCTCCCCACAGCCAACGTCTGACTGATACTGGCATACAGAAGCCTGATCGGCTGGTCTCAAGATGGGGCAACCCCTAACCCCCACACACTCCTCAGCCCTATGGAATCAGACTGAGGTAAAACTTCAGCTGATACCACCTCTTGGCTTCTTCCCCTGCTATCCTGCTCTCCTTGCTTGGAGATGGGCTTCTGAGCACATTCCCCTCAAGATCACTTATGCAAAGAACCCTGTCTCCAGCTGGTTCTATGGAACCTTACCTAAGAGACAGCCAGACTTTATCAAGCACTAGACAGCAAAACTTTGGATTGTAATCAAAGTGGCTTAGAGGAAGTTGCAGAACTACTATTTGTTGACTTTTTCAATAAAATACTTTGTGTTTGAAATATCTGAAAATTACCCCACGTTTTACTTAAGTGTTACATGATGAAAGCTGAAAACATTCCCGTAAAAGTTTGAAAACATCAGGTCTGGAAGAGCACTTACTTCACTAAAGAAGCTTTGCGACACAGCTTGTCAGCCCCCCTGTAGTAATTCACCAACTGCATCAGCCCAGGCTCGTGACCTAGGAAAGAAAGAGGAGGCTCAGAAAGGAAACAAGACAGGTGGGGAAGCACACTGTCAGCACCAGCGTGCAGGAGAGAACAGCTGTGTGCAGCCCAGCTTTTCTCTCTCCCATGTCAGGACTGGCTGCTAGGAAAGGAGCCCTTACGTTGCCCTGCACTTCTGCCCCTTTCCTCAGCACCCCCCATTATTCTCACCCTCCCCTGAGTGGGTGTTATAGTATCAATAAAGCGGTCTGCCAAATTTCCCTGCTGCCTTTGTTCTTTCTCACTCTCCCTGATCCCCACCACACCCCACTCTCAGTCCAGTAAGGACTTTAATAGTCAGGCTTTTAACACCCCCTAACCTTGCTCCCTATAGCCAAGAAGGAAAGCAGTAGAACAGTAAGACTGCTGTTCTCAAGCATGTCTACTTCTACAAGCTTCCAGGGGAGCCATTAGAGGGTGAAAGAAGGCAGTGAAGAGCCCTGACAGCAAAATCAGAGGCCCTGAGAGCTTTCTTCTAGGCATCATGCCACATTTTCAATAGTTTATTGCATGTCCCCTCCTCTGTAAAATTAAAGCAAAAAGGACACAAATAAAAAGCCTCAATTTTTGTTTAAAATCCTAACGATGTTATAGAATGCACAGAATTTGCAGCAACAAAAATAAGAGTAGAGCAGCCAAAGAAAGGAGGTTTGAGTTGAAGAAGTCAAAAGAATAATTCATCTGAGAACAGCATACACTCAAACAAAAAGTTTCAGGTACTAACTGGTTCTCACTGTCTCCCTGGGGCAGAGCAACCTGGCTTACCCCCCAAAAAGAGCCATCTTTTCAGCCCCATGGTACTATCATTCCTGAGCCTTCCGAGTTCTATAAGCCTTCACCTTGGGTGTCACACAGTGCAATTTCAACAGAAAGTAGAGACCCCCAACGGTGGAGGTATATAACTGTTTTGGTTGTTTAATTTCCTATAAAAAACAAATGTCATCTGCTGATCTTCTTGTACCTGTTTAGGATTTGGGCCCCATAGGTTTCTGCTCCCTCCCAAGTCCTAAGCACCACAGCCATGCCAGCCACCCTGGGTTCAGTCCCGGCTGAGCCATTTTTGTCAGTTTTTAATATTAAGACCCACCTAAACCTTTATAGACCGGCACTACCCTGTCCACAGAAATAAGTAGGGAGAAAAGTGGACGGAACACGGAAGAAATACATGTTCTCAACTGTAAGTATTTTTTCTTCTTCTTTCAGGAAAGACATTCTCTTTGCTGAAGGCTTACTGAGGAGACACTTTAACAAAAGGGAAATGCCAACCCCATGCCCCATATTCCAAGATTTCTGGGGATGGAATCGGTGCTTCCATGGTGTTCCCACCCTACATCAACCTGGATAACAACAAAAAGTTGTCTATGATATTATTCCAAAAAATAATCTCTGTAAGGCTATCCTTCACTCCTCAATTATAACTGTACATGGTACTCAAGACCTCCCCCATGGCCAGCCAGCTCCAGTGGCCTATTTTCAGTCTTTGCTCGTTCTACCGCTGGGCCCTCTGACCACACCTATTTCTGAAAACTGTCTCCTCTGGTAAACACAGAACACTGCTTTCTTTGGGTTGCCCTGCAACACAGAAATGACTTTTCCTATTATTAAATCTCCCCCGTCTGTGGCAGAACAATCTGAGCCCCATTCTAAGGGGATTTGGGCAGGGAACATGGTTTCCAGGAGCAAGACTGCACTTCCCTATGACTGGGCAGCGAGGAGAGGCCACAGGCTCTGCTCAGGTCAAAGGGGTGTGAGTTGAGGCGCTCAGCACAACTTCTGCATTACGTCATCTAAAGAGGAGCCTCGGCGCTCGGCTTCCCCAGGCCCCTTCCCACAGGCGGTGGGTGTGTGGCTATGGTGGTGCCAACCTGTTTTAATCATATGAAAAGCGTGTCCCTGGGGGAGAGGAGAGTAGGGACAGAGGATACAGCGTGAATCCAGCATCAAGTGAAATCTGCATTCAAGGCTCAATTGGGAAAACACGTTCCTCGGTGCAGCTAAGGAAAGGTCCCAAATCAGCCACCCTCTGTCCTTTCCTGGGTTCGGTTCACTTCTGAAGGTCCTGCCTTTGGCATCCAGAGGTCTTTTCCAAATTCCCCGACAGCTTATCCGCGCCCTGGGTAGCCGAATCCCTGGGGCTTTCCACATGCATTAAGTCCCTCTCCCGCGCCAAGCCCAGGAAGGGCGGAATCCTCGGTAGGAAATTCGCAGGAAGACTCCAGGCGGATGTCAGCCGCCGGCTCCGCACCCCCTCCCGGCCCCGCAGAGTCCCCCGGAACGGTCGGATTTGGGGGGCGTGGGATTCGAGGCAAAGGGGGAACGCGCGGCCTCGCGCAAGGCTGACGCCCCCCGGGCTGCAGGGACCAGCCATTGTCAGGAGGCTTCTGCGGGCCGGCGAGACGGCACCGCGACTCGGGCCCCGCATCCCATTCTGGAGACGAGGAGACATGGAAAGTGATGGGCTCCGACCTCTCCGGGCCATTTTCCCATCTGCCCGAGCAACCACGGAGGGGAAGATTTACGACCCTAAAACAAAAGCGCTGGTCCTAACGGGAGGGCGGGAAATGGAGACGCGCTCACCCAGTCTCCCGAAGGGCAGCCGGTTCCTCTCTCCCAACATCAGGTTAAACCTGGGGTTGTCACGCCGCAGCCTCTTCCAGTGGCCCGTGGCGAGGAGCAGCCGGGAGACCTCGGCGTAGACGCTGCTGTTCTCGTCGCGCACCACGAAGGTGTACATGGCGAAGCGCCGCGCGCCCGCGCGCCCCGGGCAGCCGCTCGGGGACCGGCCGGCACCAGAGGCGGCTCAGCGTGGACCCCGCCCGTGCGCCCGCCGCGTCCGAGCCTCCGCCGCGCTCCGGCCGCGCCTCTGGGGTCCCGGCGGCGGCGCGCCCGGGCGCCCGCGCGTCGGCCTGAGCAGCTGGCGCAGCCCGGACGCCGCGCCCACCGGCCGCGGCCCCGCCTCCGCCCCGAGATGCCGCGCGGCCGCCCCGCCGCGGCTGCTCCGGCTCGTGCGCCCTCTGCGCCCGGCCGAGGCCTCCCGGGCCTGCGAGGGTTTGGGGGTTCGCCGGGGAGGGCGTGGCTTCAGCCGCGTTCCGGGGCGCGCGTACTGCGGGGTGGCCGGAGACGGGGGCGCGGCCGGAGACGGGGGGCGCGGCCTTACTGCTCGAGATCAGGGCCAGAGGGGCGGTGCCAGCGAGGATCCCTTTCGCGGGGCTCGCTCGGGATTCTCTATCTATTGCAAAAGGACGTTTTCGTGGATGAAAACAAAAAGTTCCAAGGCCCCATCTGGTTCCCAGTTGCGTTTCCTTTTTTTTGCTGCTTAAGGGCAACAGAGAATCCGGAGCGTTCTGGTGGCTGCTGGTTCCGAATGGGTCGAAAGCTCCTTTCACCTGCTGAGACCTCCCTGGCGGCGCAGGACCAAGAGGGGGTGAAACAATTGGGTGCAGACCCTGAGGATGCCTGGCCTCTGCTCCGCACCCTAATTTATTGGCATTGGGCCACTCGCTTTCTCCTTTCTGAGAGGGGGCAGGTTGGTTTTTTAAGACCCATTGGTTTTGATATCTACTCTAATTTCCTTTGAGGAAACAATTTCTGGCCCATTTGAGAGGCAGAGGACTGTGACTCAGATTTCCCGCAATGTTCCTAATTCGCCTCCTAAATTACCCACATCACGTATGCGCTTCACATTTATACTCTGCTTTAGAGAAAGAACATTCTGGAATCTCTCCTCATCTTCTCACTGCTCACGTATCTGCCCAGCACCTTAGAAAAGCGACCCCCTCTCTCCCTTTTTTGCCTGTACTTTCTGGGGCGGGTACTCGCCCATTTTGCACACAAAAGCTTCAGCTCCGCCATCACCTGGAGGCATTCACGGCTGTGACAGCTCTCGCAGAGGAGAAATTGAGCAGAAGTGCTCGTGTACTTGCATCCAGTCTCTCTTCTCCCAACTGTCCTCTAGCAATGAAGGTCTCGGGCAGTATTGAGCTGCAGTTGTTCACAGCTACTCATTAATACATCTTTTGTTGGATTCCTTCCTTTCTTTGCTTCACCATCCTCTCCTCTACAGATGTTTATTGGCCTCTCTTCCTCAACAGACTGCTTGCTCTCAAATCTTTGTTCCAGGATTACCTTTTGGGGGAACTCAAGTCAAGACACTGACGCTCTTCACAGCCACTCATCTTGAAAGTGACATCCACTCTCACCATGCCCCTCCCTCTCCACTGACTCACCTCTCCTGCATCACCCACTCACTCCCCACAAGCTGGCTTCTCTCTGCCACTCTGCAGCCATAGATCTTATTAGCAATACCCACGGCCTCTGGAATTTCCAAATTGAGTGGTTAGTTTTCTCCTTTCCCTCATTTTCATTTTATAGTGAACACCATTTTGTTTGCTTTGCTTTAATTTTTGTGCAGCACACCTTATCTGCTTATCTTGATATGAGAACTTATCTTTCCCCTTGGAACCATTTTGTGGGACCTTGGTGATATTAACACAGTCCATGATGGGCACAGAAAAATGAATATCCAGGCTTGGCCCAGCGGGACTACTCCATCATTTTTGCCATAATGATTAGTGAAGGAAGAAAATGATCCAAATTTAGCCAATTTTATTCTGTCTAGGACTTTTCTACCCAAGCAATGGAGAAAGATTTTTTTTTTCCAATTGTAGTTGCTTGGTTGGAAGGTTGTATAGGACAGTATGCAGCATTCTTGCTAGCTTACAGAGGGCAGAGCCTGTCTGAAAATTCAGCTTCCCATCCCTCTTCGCTTTAGGCCTGGGCATAAGCATGTCAATATGTTCTCCACAACAGAATGTAAATGAAGTGAAGTGCTTCCTTCCTAAAGCCTCCATAGCTTCATAAATGTAGGCCTGTGTCAAAACTCATAAGACTTTACAATAAAATGAGTAAATTTTACTGTTACCAAAATGTGTTTATATATACCACGGTGGGGGGGGGAGGGTGGTGGTTATTACTAAAATTATACGTCAAAGAAAGCTACAAGATCAAATAACTTTACTGGTGAATTCTTCCAAACATTAGGAGTGTCATACAGGAACTTTCAGATGATAGAAATAGTAAATCCTAAAGAATCGAAAACAATTAGAATTAATAACTACATAAAGCAAAGTCACTGATACAAGCATCAGTTGTTTTTATATATTAACAAGAAATAGAAAATGAAATTTTAAAAAGATATACTTAGAATAGTTGTAAGAAATGTCAAATACTTTGGACTATCTAATGAAAGCTATGAATTCTTTATGCTAAAAGCTAAAAAATGTAATTGAGATAAATTTTAAAAGCACCAAATAATTGGAGGGGTATACAACATTTACAATTGGAAGACTAAAAATTGTTAATTTTTCCCAAATTGATCAATCAATTCAATGCAATCTGCAGAAATATTTATGGAAATTGACTAGGCAATCATAAAATTTATACAGAAATGCAAAGAACCAAGAATAGCAAAGGTAAACTAAAGGAAGTTGGAGAAGTTACACTACCAGATGTTAAGATCTATAAAAGTAAATTAAGTACAAAACTATTGTAATTGAGAAAGTATGGTTCTGGTCCAAAGAGGGACAAATAGACTGAGAGACAAATAGACCAACATATATATTATACACACACACACACACACACACACACACACACACACTCAAAGGTGACATTGCAGATCAATGGGAGAAAGGATGTACTTTTGGAAAAAATGGAGATGGGTCAATGGATATCCATTTGGAAAACAAAATTAATCTTGACCTTTACAACACAAAAATCATTTGCAGAATCATTGTGACCTAATGTTTCTAAATATAAAAGGTAAAAGCAATGAAGCTTTTTAGAAGAAAATAGGAGAAAAAAATTTATGGTCTTACAGTAGGTATAGATTTATTACAGAGGACACAAAAATGTCTATGAATAAAGAGGAAATGGATGAACTGGCAATCTGAAAATTAAGAGCCTTCCTTCATCAAAAGACACCATCAAAATAATAAATAGGAAAGTCATAGAGTTGATATAATGTTTAATATGTATGTTACCTTAATACACACACATATGTATCTGATGGAGAACTCATATCTGGGGTATAAAGGAATTATAAATTAATAATAATAAAATATCTGACAAGTCAATTAGTGAAAGAACTGATGTGGATATTTTAAGGGACTACCCACAAGCTAAAAACTCAGCAAAGAGATTTGGAGAAGAGTCAAACTGAGAAACTAATTTAGGAATATGTTGGACTGAAAAAGAAGAACCACATCTAATAGTTGTAGAATAAGTGTAAACCGGAGTCATATATCTAGATATTTTGAAGTAATAGACCAGGACAATAAGCTTCTAAATAAAATACCTATCTTCCTACTTACAAATATACCTTTAGAAAAATGATCTGGAAGACCAGGAATTTTAGAATTCTGAGACAAACTGGAGTTCCACTCCAGGACTTAGCAATACTGAAAGAGATGGTTCTGGCCTCTGTTGATGGTCCACCCTGTTTATTCCTATTCTTTACTCCATCCTGCTCCTTGCGTGGTTGTACATGCATGTATGGGGACACTACAGCCATGAAATCTGAGCTCTATCTACTCACCCATCACTGACCATCATCCACTGCCCGTGGGCACCACTCAGACCTAGTGGAACACACCAGCAATGCCTTGGGGGAATGGACCCAGACAGGAAGCTTGCACAGGGTCTGGAGGTCAGGTGTGATATTTGTATAGTAAATTCTGGTTCTTGGGTACCTAACATAGCTGAGAAAGGTAGAGGGAGATTGTGTTTGGGTGGCCTATCCCCTTGATCTCACAAATTGTCATCCATCGGGAGGGACATGGCTAAAGTGAGGTCAGATTGGGACACTCTAAAGCAAGGATCTTTCTCACATAGGCTTCAGACCCATGTTCCTAGAAGAAAGCTTCAAAATCTTTACCCCCACCCCATCTCTACTCTTTACGTCCTATACTGGATACCAAGACTAATCAACATTGTTTTTCCCTCATTGTCTCCAACATTACTACAATCACATTACTACAGTCACATTGCACCTGCCTTCTATCTGCTTTTCCTGCTTTTTAACCCCTTTACCTCTCCTGTCTTCCCTGAAGATCATTACCAAGTTAATCTTTCTAAAACACGGCATTCATCATTCCTAACCATACATCAGAAACAGCCATGGCTCATTGAAGCCGGTGTCCTCCATTTCAAATTCATGACCTTTCATTAAGTCTTCCCATTGTATCTTTCCTGCTGCATTTACCACACTCCTTTAACCAAAGTCTTTGAAGTGCCCTGATCATCAAGTTCAAATGAAAGTATGTTGGATAGAGTTTTAATGTTAAGTGTGTATTTTTTTTAAATGAGGTTTTTTTTTTTTTTTAAGATTTATTTATTTATTAATACAAGCACTGGGTACAGTCAGAAGCGTGGGAGGGTGAGAGAATTCACCAGAGCCAGAGCGGGGAGCAGAGCAGGCAGAAGGACCAAAGTACACTGCTGAGGGGAGCAGCGGGCGGCAGGAGAGGTCTGCGCGCCATGTGGGATCGAGGATCCAACCGGCGCTGCAGAGGCCGTGGGCAGCTTTGCAACCCAGCACTCAACCTCTGCGCCAACGGGGAGGCCCAATGTTAAGTGTGTATTAACCCTTCTGAAACCGATGAACCATGTGCCATAGGATTATAAACTTCCTATTAATCAAAACCTTTAATTAGCTAGCATTTTCTATCTCACAATCAAGGTGAGTAAAATAAGACTTACAGTTTATTCAGGTGTGAGGTCTTGGTTGCTCTTCGACACTTTGAAGGTACAACTGCCTCACCCTTCAATGGAAACTTTCAACCCCCCCCTTTCCATCCCTCTCTTTTTTTTTAAAGATTTATTTATTTATGCATACAAGACCT